ACCATCTGTAATGAGTTCTGGAGCCCTCTTCTGGTGTGCAGGCAGAACACTGTATACATAATAAATAAATCTTTAAAAGAAAGAAAAAGAAATGTAACGTGAGGACTGGGAAGGGATCCCATGATCACCAGTGAGTTGGAGAGAGGCCTGCAAGGCCTGTTGGTCCCCTCCTAAGTGACTTTCTTCCATTGATTTCCTTTTGTTGGGCGTTGATAGGTTTCTGCCTTTCTGGTCAAGCTGAACATTTAGCCTGGCTCTGTTTTTACATGAGTGTGTGTGTGTGTGTGTGTGTGTGTGTGTGTATACACAAACTCAGGTGCCCGCTCACATCCACGTGCATCTCACGTCTCACGTGTGTTTATCCTGTCTCCCCAGCAGTTCTCCCGTCTACAGATTCATCCTGTGTTGAGCCCTTTAGTACAGCGCATCTCCTGGCTTGGTCACATGCGTGTGCCCTGTGCCTGCTAGCCAGCAGCCTCCCCCTATCTGGTGCTTACACGCTGAAGCATTGCGTCAGCCACCTGGATCCCCATGCGGGGCCTTGGTGCTTGTAATTGCGGTGGTTGGGGATGACCCCAGCTTGCTGTGCAAGCCTGGCCTATGATGTATCGGAAGGCATTGGTGCTGATCAAGTAGACTTGAGGTTGGGGAGAAAGAACAGTTGAGCATACTCTCAATCAACAAAGATTTTGCCAATTTTATGTAAGACAGAACTGAATATAAACAAGAACACCTTCAGAGGTCACCAGAAGTGTCTTGTGGTACATAGAGGCTTCCCAGCAGCATAACTGGGAAGGTGTGGAGCCCACATCCATCCTGCAGAAGACCATGATTGACATTCACAGACTAGTTATTTAGACTCCGCACTCTCTCTCACGTGGACAGCACTCCGCTCATAAAACGTCCCTTTTTCTCACAGTATCTCTGGACAGTATGGAGCGGGTGTGTCTGAAATGTGACAGGCTAGGACGTCTGGGGTCTGGCTGTCGAGGACTCCCCAGTTTGAAGCCTTTGTCTTGGGCACAGGAGCCTAAGGGGTGCCTGAGACGGATACAGACGTGAGAGAGACCTGCTCCCTGCCAATTTTTTCTCATCTCAAATCAGCTCCCTGGTGATCCCTTTCTTTTTGTCCAGGAGTCCGTGAATCTGGCCCGTCCACTTGCTTTCTTCTTGTGACTGCTGTCCTCTTTTTTGTCCAATCAGAAATGCTTCCCTGTTAATGTTTTGGTGGGGGGTGCACATCTTTAATCCCAACATTCAGGAGGCAGAGGCAGGTGTCTCTCTGAGATCAAGGCCAGTCGACGGTCTACGTAGTGAGTTCTAGGACAGCCAGAGCTGCACTCAGAGAAACCCTCTCTCTCAAAAAAAGAAAGAAAGAAAGAAAGAGAGAGAGAGAGAGATGCTTTCCTGCTTAAGACTTTAAAGAAAACAGGGCTAAACTAAACAGTGGCCAGCACAGTGCTAGGCACAGGAGGGTACTTAATAGACATTTCTTTGCAGTTTTGTTTGTTTTGAGATAAGTTCTCGTGTAGCCCAGGCTGGCCTCAAGCTCACCTTGTAGTCAAGGATGACCTAATTTTTGATCCTCCTGCCTGCTCCTCCCAGGTGTTGGGTTACTGCAAACACCACCACGTGCAGGGAGTGATTTCTCCCATAAATTAGTCTCACCTCGTCCTTAAAACAAGCCCACGGTCCTTTTAGGTATTTCTAGTTCCTTCCGGTATTAGCAACTTTGTAGAAGGGAAGTTCAGTGGAACCAGGCAGAACTGAATGGCTAGATTGGAAATGGGGAACCTCAAGCCGTCTCTCCTTACAACCCATGCTGTCCCCGAGGGGTCTGAGCAGTGAACAGAACAGGTCTGTGTCTCAGCCTCCCTGGTTAGCACTTCCTTTCACAGAAAGGGAAAATTAACCCCTTCTCTGCCTCAGCCTTGCAGTTAAGGCTCTTAGTATTTTGAACAATAAAGAAGACTGAGGTGTGTTTTATCGAAGTTTCATTGAGCACCTAAGCTCAGGGTCTTGCAGACCTGAATAGTAGAACACTTGCCTAGCATGCTTGAGGCCCTGGGTTCCTCCCCAGCACCCCAGAGAAAGGCAGGGAGGAGAGAAGAGATCCCGCAAACCAAAACGTTTGTTTCCATAAAAGGCAAAGAAATTGTTATTGACATCATTGATCGCCCCTGTGCTTTGCTTGCTCACTCGGTTCAGATTTCTGGTTTGGAATGGAATTCCCCATTTGATTCGTTTTTTTCTGTTCCATTTCTTCTTTTTAAAATAGTGCCTATCGGTGTTTTTTGGTTTTGTTTTTCTAATTATGAGTGGCAGGTATTCATCATGGACATATTGGGGACTACAAAGCAAGTCGTGTAGACCCCTCTGAACACGTCCTTCCTTTTGCCTCTTGTTTTGGCAATGTCTTTTTCTCCTTTGGGTTTTTTGGTTGGTTGGTTTGGTTTGGATTTTTTGAGGCAGGTTTTCTCTGTAGCTTTGGAGCCTGTCCTGGAACTTGCTTTGCAGACCAGGCTGGCGTCGAACTCACAGAGATTTGCCTGCCTCTGCCTCCCAAGTGCTGGGATTAAAGGGGTGTGCCACCACTGCCCGGCATCTCCTCCTTGGTTTTAAATACGTGCTTCACCCAATGTTGTCCCTTTTTTTTTTCAATTTTATTTTTTAACTTATGTTCTCAATATTCCATTATTTCAAACGATGCTCCATAGTGTAAAGGTTGTACGAGGAATGTGGTCAAGATGAAAGGACCCAGGGTCTATTGTGTGAGGTCCAGACACTGTTTAGGTGTATGTATGCATTTTAGTGTGCATGTGTGTAGGTGGAGTTTTCTGTGTCCCGGCAGTCACTCCCAAATAACCACACAGAATTATTATTAATTATAAATGCTCGGCCAGGGTTGGAGAGATGGCTCAGTGGTTAAGAGCACTGGCTGCTCTTCCAGAGGATCCGGGTTCAATTCCCAGCACCTACATGGCAGCTACTAGAGTCTGTGGCTCCAGTTCCAGGGGACCCAACACCCTCACACATACATGCATGCAGCTAAAACACTAATGCACATAAAATAAAAATAGATAAATTATTTTAAAAAATAAGTGCTTGGCCTATCACTTAGGCTCATCTCCAGCCGGCTCTTACAACTTAAATTTACCATTTAGTGCTGTCCTGTGCTGTCCTGTGGCTCGTTTACCTCGTCTACGAACTTAAATTAACCATTCAGTCCACGTGCTGTCCCGTGGCTCGTTTACCTCATCTACAAACTTGGCGTGTTGCTTCTTTCGAGTCTCACTCAAAACTCCTCAAACTCTGCCTTTCTTCTTCCCAGCATTCTCTCTGCTCTAAAAATCCTGCTTAGTTATTGGCCAATCAGCTTTTTATTAACAATGAGAGCAACACATTTTCACAGTGTACAAAAGGATTGCTCCACAGTGTGTGTGTGTGTGTGTGTGTGTGTGTGTGTGTGTGTGCAGGCACCTGCCTGATTTTGGATGTGCATTGCTTACATATTACGTCACTGCCCCTTGCTAATGAGCGTGGCTGTCACTACACCATTCTAGCTACACTGCTACCTACTCTTGTCATTAGAGTCCCCGGAGGCGACAGAGAGAGTTGATGTAATACTCATGGGATTTGTCCATGTATCTGAGCCCCACCTAGACTTTTTGCTTCGAAGCCAAGCAGGCTGAGTAGGTCAGCTATGGCGGAGCACATGTTTGGGAAGGGTGCAGACCTCAGCTTGTCAAGGCCGAGCCCGTTGGGATGGGATAAAAGCACTTCACACACTGTCTGTGGCTTTGGTCTGGTGGTTGTACCCAAGAATCAGGTTTACTGTGCACAACGTGCTTAGTAGGACATGAGAGGCTTTAAAGAAGAAAGAGATTGTGGTCCCTGCATTTATCCCACTGCAGTGTAGAATGGCCAATCCAACAGGAGCTTTTCGCTTCATCCGTCTGGGAACCTGAGTCCTGCTGTCGTTGTGGGCCACCCATGTCCCTGTCCTCCCATGGCCCAGAGGCCTTACCCTCCTGGGACTTCCTGTGTCCTATGTGTGCTCCTGTGGTTCTGTGATGGTCCCTTGCTCAGCTCCCCTCCCTCTCCCTCGAGTGGTGATCAGGTCTCCCCAAGGTCTATAGATCTCTGCACACTGTCTCCTCTTGCTGCCCATCACTACTCTTACCAGTAGCGTCTCTGTGAGTTGTTGACTTGTCCTGCCAGCTCACCCCCTTTGGTCTTACAGTCCACAGTGTGATACCAACCCTCAGTGCTGGCACTGGATGCCTCCAAAAGGCGGGAGAGCCAAAAGAAAAGGTGGTGGTTGGTTTTCCATAGCCCACGGGAGGGATGATGCTCCAGGCTAGTGGAAGTGATTCCCGTGTGTTCATAGTTTCCCCCTAACTTTGCTGGTTCAGAATACAAGGCCATGCATCTCTCAATCCTACGGGACCATGACAAGGGTAAGATGCCACTATGCAGACTCCGAGTTCCTCTCTGTGGGCATGATGGCCAAGGGTGACAGACTCTCCCTGCCCCTTGGAGTTATGGAAAAGATAGCTGAACCTTAGCATGCATGTTAGTGATGACCAGTTTATGTAGACTTCGTGGGTCACCCCAGTGACCTCCACACACCCGGAAGCAGCGCTGGCTGCATATTTAGAAAGTGTTGCTTGGAGGTAGGCAGACCTACCCAAGGCTTTTGGGTACATATGACAGTGTTCCCGTGTTGTTACATGCCCTCGCCTGCTCTTGTTCAATTCCATGCTGAAGGAAAGGACTTGATTCATTTGTAGACTTGTTCCCCTGTTTCTGCTTCTCCATTCTTGTGGATTTTTTTTCCTTTCTTCCTGTTGTTCCTTTCTCACTTTTTCTGTTTTTTTGTCCTCTGCTTGTTTTTATTTCACCCTCTCCCTGTCCCTTTCCACCTCCAAATTCCTCTCCTCCTTTCCCGCTTCCTTTGTCTTTCTCTGTTTCCTCTTCCTTGTTTGGTCCTTTTGAAGTTGAGCCCAGTGGCGGGACTCCACGACGCAGACCTCTCTCCTTCTGCCCTTGCTGTGTCCAGGAAGGTAACGTAACCTCGCCCACTTGTCCCCACTGCCTCCGAGGGGCCGCAGCCACCATAGTCCAACAGGGAGCCAAGGCCCAGCAGTTGTTCCTCTCTCTGACTTCAGAATGTCATGAGTATGTGGCAGTTTCTTACAAGGCACAGTATCCCTTTGACTATCTAAGGGAGGATGGGAACCAAGGGGAGCCAGCGAGCCTGTGGGCTCCAATGTCTTCAGGCTGCAGTTCTGTGGTTCTGCCTATCATTGGTGCTCGGAGCCTTGGGTCCAGTAAGGTCAAGGCCAGCATAAAGAGGGCCAGGAGTAGGGGTGGCGACAGTTTGCATTGGCGGAGTCAAGGAATACTGTCCTTACAAAGACTGGTCTACACAAATGCCCCCCAAGTTTTGTTGTTTCCCCCCAGAGCAACCACTGAAAACAAACTTCTCTACCTTGTGTCTTGCTGAGTGTGTCTTGTTTTGTTTTAAGTTTGTCCGATTTGAAGTCTGTTGTGATGATAAGATTGTCATTGGCAAGGCATGTGGGCAGGGGGAAGGGGCGTGTGGCCATGACTAACCCTGCTAACCTCTTCTCTGCTCCCCATGGCTCTCACATCTGACCACCCACCCCACCACATTCCCCTGCTCATGGGCTGTGACTGAACTCCAACACGGCTCATGAGCGGTGTCCCAGTGTCCCCGGTGGAATTGGGGGTCTTTACATCTGGGAGGTGGGAAGGAGGGGCGGACTTGGTACGCTCGTGGCTTGCCACTCTGGACAACTTGCATGTCTCAAGGGCTTCATCTCCATGGCCACATGGGCACACTGTGCAGAGACGCTCCAGAAGGAATGCTTGGAACTGGGCTGTAGGCTGCTTTGAAGCCAAAGACCCAAGTCTATTGGAGTGGGGAAGGAGAGTTTGGACCCCCAGACCTGTAGGCAGGCTCGACAGGCCGGGATGGAGGCATCCATCTTTAAAGTAGAGTTCAGGGCCGGGAGCCTTCACATCAGGAAGAAGGGTGCATGTGTGCTTGGCATGGTCTGATACTAACCCTTGCGTGCGTCAGTTCTGTCTCTGAAGTATGGTTACTGGCTGAAGACTTAGGCTTAGGTCTGATGTGTCCAGCATACAGTGAAAGAGCTTGGCCTTTGACTAGTGTGAAAGAATCAGGAAGAAGCAGGCTAGAGCAAGAGAGCCTCACACGGGACCAGCACCTACCTAAGGATACTGGCCATACTCTTGTATAAACTAGAGCACTTCTTGAGACTGGGCCACCCAACCAAGCAAGTGGAGGGGACTTAGAGGACTCCAGCCTGACACCTCTTAACTTGAGGTCTGTGAATAAACTTTAGGAAGCCCTTGAACACCCCAAGTTCTGTATAAAATTACTGGATGTTGGGATGGCAGTGTGCTCAGTGGTGGGGCATTGCCTAGCACATATGAACTTCTGTGTTCATCTCCAGCACACAAAAATAACATGAAAGGAAGTTTATATCCCTGTGGGCAAGGAGCCACCGTGTGTTTCCAGGGCAAGGTCACACGGATAGCTTTGTACAACAAGCAGAAGGACTTTGTTATTTTCTGAGTGGTTTGATTCCTTAGAAAACCTTTCCTTGCCGGGCACTGGTGGCTCATGCCTTTGCCATTAATCCCAGCACTCAGGGAGACAGGCAGAGGCAGGCGAATCTCTGAGTCCAAGGCCAGCCTGGTCTACAGAGTGAGTTCCAGGACAGATACACAGAGAAACCCTGTCTCAAAAAGGGGGGGAGGTCCTTCCCCCATGCCCTTGCTACAGCTAAGCCCAGGGATGTGGCTACTCCTGATTGAGGCAAACGTTGATTCAGGGGCAGCTCGAGTCAACAGGTGGCCGAAGAGTAGGAACAGCTGCCCTCCTCAGCTCTGGGGTCCGCTGGTGACAGCCACCTTGATGCTTTGTGTCTGCCATGCAGATTCCGCTGCAGTGTTTATCGGGCCGCGTGCTAAGAAGGGGGTGTTTTAGGGCAGGGGGTGTAGCTCAGTGGTAGAGCACTTGCCTGGCATGCATGTGTCTAGGTGAACGCACAACAAAACCAAGACATGGGTATCTTCCTGACCCCAACAAGGAAGCCGTGGCGAAGCGTCAGGGGCCCCTGAAAGAGACAGCTGCCCAGGAAGAAACAGGGTCAAAAGAAAGTAATTTAAGAGCAGAGTGTAGGACTGGGCATGGTGGCACACGTGCCTGTGATCTCAGAATGTGGGAGCGTGGAGACTGGAGGATCGGGAGTTCAAGGGCAGCTTGGGTTATATGAACCTAATCTCAAAGGCAAGGTGTAGCTTGTAAATTTCTACTCCTCCTGTTTATTAGACTGTTTTCCTCTGAAGAGACCGAGTAGCGAGGGGAGAGCGGGCCATTTCATACACACGCACTTGTATCACCGAGCAAGGCAGTGTTAAGCTCGTATAGGAGGAACAGTCAGTCACCCAGAAAAAGGCCTGGGCAGGACTGATGGAAAGTCTAGGTCTGTCAGGCCCTGGGGTGGGCACGACGCAGTGGCCTGTCGTTCTCTGTCCCCGTCTCCCTGTCAGGGCTGTAGGCAAACTTTGGACCTGGCTTGGGACTGTTCCGGCAGCATCTTGCTTGGCTCTTTGCACATTTGCCCCAGTGTGACAATCCTTCTGGGCTGGGCAAACAGACCCATCCCCTTGTCTGACCCTCAGTCTCTCCCACAGGCATGGGCAAAAAGGATGACCCCAAGCTGATGCAGGAGTGGTTCAAGCTGGTGCAGGAGAAGAACGCCATGGTGCGCTACGAGTCGGAGCTGATGATCTTGTGAGTGAACTGGGGTTCAGGAACCAGCTACGGGGGGGGGGGGAGCCAGCGTGTGGTACATCACAGCAGGGTGGGAGGGCTGGTCCCCAAGTCACCCTTGCTGCCTCTCCCTGTCCCAGTGCCCGGGAGCTGGAGCTGGAAGACCGCCAGAGCCGGCTGCAGCAGGAGCTTCGGGAGCGCATGGCTGTGGAAGGTGAGCGCAAGGCGAGTGGGGTGGAGGGTGAAGTGGGCCACTGTCCCAGGCCACACGCCTGACGCCATCAGCCACTCGGCAGATCACCTGAAGACCGAGGAGGAGCTGTCAGAGGAGAAGAAGATCCTGAACGAGATGCTGGAGGTGGTGGAGCAGAGAGACTCACTGGTGGCCCTGCTGGAAGAGCAGCGACTGCGGGAGAAAGAGGAGGACAAGGACCTGGAGGCTGCTATGCTGTGCAAGGGCTTCAGCCTGGACTGGTCCTGAGCCTGGCTACCGTTGGGTTTGGTTGATTGGCACCCACCTGACCCGGCTGCGTTATCCCGACCCACCGGATCCAGGTTCAGAAGAGACCTGGCGTGCCTGGAAGGTAGCTCACAGACACCTGTGCTGTGGGAAAACCCCAGGCGAGGGTTATCATCTGAGGTGAAGGGCCGTGTGGGACTTCCCATTCAGGAGGGAGGAGACGGGTGTTTGGCATGTGCCACAGGGGACACTCCTGCAGGTCCCCGAGGGCTTGCTGCCTGGCACCTCTTCCTTCCTTCTGCTGGTAAGAGAGGGAAGTGACTCCTCTTCAGAGCCACTGACACCCAGAGCACCTGAAGAGCCGAGTGGCTACAGTCCTCGTGCTTCCTGAAGCACCACCAAAGAAAGTGCAGAAGCATCTGCAGAGAAGCTGTGGATGGAGGGGATCCAGCAGGGAGCAGCACCCGTGGGGGTGATGAGGGTGATGCCCACCCTCCCATTGCAGGGGAAGCCAGACAGTAGGCAGGTTCATTATGCAAGTTAGGAGGGTGCAGGAGGGCTCTGCCCCCGGCCCCGCCACACACTGGATTCCCAGTGGCCAAGTGCCCCCCAGGCCTTTCATGTGGGCAGTGGCCTGAGGCCCGCGGATTGCTGTGTTTTGCTTTTAGTTCACAACGATTTTGACACTGGAAAGTATTGACTGTGGCAGAGCTGAGGGAGACCCTACATGTCGACAGACAGGCGCCACCCCTGGTCGGCACCCACGGCAGTACAGGAGATGGCTCTCCTCAGCATTTTTCTGTGTTTGCACATCGAAAGGAAACTGACAACCTGCCCAGACACTCAGCCACTTCGGACCCTTTTTGTCGATTAACTTATTTTTTTAATACTTGAAAGGAAGCAACTTCGTTTTTATACCTTTACTAGAGACACTGATTGCCTGTCACCTGCCTGTAGGACTTGACTGGGAGGGCTTTGTGCAGCCCTGCAGCCCTGAGGCAAACTGACCTGATCTTGTTACATGCATATTTATTAGCCGTCTTGATAGTGTTACGGGCCTGGTCTGACCAGCGGGCAGCTCAAAGCCCTGTGGGTCCTTCCTCACAGCTTCTCTGTCCCCTCCTCCACCCAGCACCCTGTCCCTGCTGGCACTGGACTTCTACAGGGGAGCTGCCTCTTTGTAAGGACGCGTTTCAGCACTAGGAGGCCAGGCCTGGAGACAGACCGGCTGCTGTGGCCTCTGCTCTTGGAATCGTGGCTCTGCGGAACCCACTTTGTCCAGTTTTGCTGCCAAGGTTTTACTTCCTGTACAGATGTTAAAGATGGAGGGTAGCCCCTCCTCACGCTGGCTGGGACCAAGTGGAGTGTGACCTTGTCCTCAGGCCGGCTGATGGCAATGCCCTGGTCCAGCTGGAGGGGCATGTGTGCACGGGCCTCCCCTCAACACGCCGGCCACTCTGACCTTCCCTGCCTGTACTAGGATTTTCTTGGCCTGGCAAGAGCCAACAAGCACCATGTAACCAGCTCCATAAGCCAAACTGCTCATTTCTTGTGGTTCACCCAGAGACTGGTGATGGGGGCCAGGGTGCTTCTCTTTCCATGGGTGCCACACCAATCTGGAAAAGGGTATGCCAGCTGGGCCTGCTGGGAGGAGATTGGGAAGAAGATATGCCATCCCTGGCCTCCCTTCAAGGCTGCCAAGGGCCCACACTCATCCTGGACTTCCTGTGGGAACCACACTGTGCCTCAACTTGAACATCCATCTAACTCCAGAGGAGCAAACAGCAATCTCACCCTTCTCCTCGTGCGAAAGCTGCCATCTCTCCTGTGGAAAGACAGGTGTGCTGCCAGCAACCACCGCAGCTCTGACGTCATCAGTTCTTGGTCTCTGACGTGGCATTACTGCTATTTTTATTCTCTGTCTAAAACGAGGAGAGGAGGATGTTCTGGGTTCCATTTTTCAACCACAATCTGCCAATCAGACTGGACTTTGGACAGGACCTTTATCGCCTGTGTGGCCTTCTTAACCCTGTCCGCCTCCCCAGTGCAATCCCAGGAAATTCAGCCTGTCATTTCTGCTAACCCACAAGAAAGAACCCATTTCCTGAGTGACTCACAAAGGATGCAGGGGCACGCAGCGCCTCTTGTGGCCTCGTGGGTGTCCCCTCCCTCCTCTGTCCTGGTCAGCCACGACCCTGTTGAACTTTCCAAAGCACACGCTGCTTCCTACAGTCACTAGGAAGGGGGCAGAAATCCACCAGCCTGGGAGACGTCCCCAACTCCCCAGCCGAAGCAGCATGAGGACTTGGGGTTCTCGTAGAGCACCTTTTTTTGGCTCCCAGTTTGTAACCACTAGTTTGACGTCGATTTCAGCGGTCTGGGGACTCGAGACAGGAACTGTTCTCCACCTCTGGAAATGCATGCAGGTCTATTCAGGAATTCCGTCTTCACTTGAAGGCCGGGAAGAAAGGGTATATATAGCCACACACTTCATACATGTATAAGATGCTAGAGTGTGTTTGAGTGAGCCCAAACTCAAGGCTACGGATAGTACATGAGGCACCAGCCTCTACCCCTAAAGCAGAAGACTGTCCCCTGCTCCCCAGTGAGAGCCAGGCCAGAACCCCAGGTTCTAACCCTGCTCAGCTGATAAAGGACCTTTTCCTCCAGCGGCCATCCTAAGATAATTTTGACCAGCAACTTTAGACTTTAAAAGATAAGACATTTTCACTGGGACAGGAGAGAAAAGAGTGGGGGCAGGGGCAACAAGTATCAGGGGCTGGGAATATAGCTCAGTGGTAGGATGTGTGCTTAGCATGCATAAGGCCCACGGTTCAATCCCCAGTATCACAGTAAAAACGACCCACAAGAGGGAACGGTCTGTTTTATGCGCAATAAAGTTTTTTTTCTTTTTTTAAGAAATAAAGACTATTTCTGAAGCCATTTTTCTTCTCTGGGCATTGAGCCAAGACACATTTCCATGTATCTACACAAGTCATTCGTGCATCTTATAGATGAGTGAATACCGACAGGTTGCTCAAAGAATATAGCTTTTCATTTGGTTTGTGATTGTGAACCCTCTGTGCTGTCGTGACGCGGCCATCAGGAGCTAGCTCTTGAGAAATTCTCTGCAGCACCCTGCTTAACAAGAAGCACTGAGTAATGCCAAGGAAGTTGGAGCCAGCCCCTTAGGACTGGTGTCGCAGCAGGGCATGGTGGCACAGGCCTTTAACTTTAATCCCAGCATTCAAGCAGCAGAGGTAGGTGACCTCTGTGAACTCAAGGCCAGTCTGGTCTACAAAGCAAGTTCCAGGACTTTCTGGAGAGACCCTGTCTTTTTTTTTAAAAAAAAAAAAAAAAAAAGACTGGTGTTGCTCCAATTCTTAGGGTTCCAATGTCAACCCAAGGCAAGATTCCAGCAGAGGTGAGGGCTTCCTTGTAGCCATGGATATGGAGTCCCCTTCCCCTAGACTCCCCCACCTATGTAACTAGCCCACAGGCAACCCAGACCACCCACAAGTAAGACAGAGTTGTATACAACAGGTAGCAGGCAAAGGCTGGGTAAGGGTCCTGTGACTCCTCCTACCCCTCCACACGGGCCTGAATCATCAATAAACCTAATGGGGATGCGTTTTTTTGCAAAAGGGTGCAACTGAACTCCTCAAGATGGCAGTTACTGGTTCAGAGGGTGAGTAGTCAAAACAGCTGAGCCACCAGCTTTTCCAGAGAGAAGGCCCGCTGGCCATGGCCCGTGTGTAATGGGAGGAAAAAAGGAGTAAGTAAGGAGCCACCTCAGGAGGGACAGACATTACTGGGACCCTAGACTCCCGAGGAAACAGCTGGAGCTGCGTGGACACCTGGGCCCAGCCACCTTTTTTACCCCCCGAGTTTTCACATAGTAAGCTTGAGAAACAGGTGGACTGTGGCCAAGCTTTACAACAACCCCAGGTGGCAGGAAATGATAGCTTTAGACAGGCAGCCAGAAACACTTTCCTCCCAAGAAACCACCATTCCTGGCCTCCGCCCGCGCAGCTGCCTCCTGTCCTAAGAGCGGAGAGGAGAGCGGCCCTGTGCTCCTGTAAGGTGAGAGGTGAATTTGTCACTGGGGAGCGTGTCCTGGGTCTACCACAGACCTTGGGATATGCATGCCTTTGGCTGTACAAGTCAGACGTGTGAAGCCTACATCCGTGCAAACGGGGCTCCCCTCTCTCCACTTGTACCTTGCTGGAGAGGCAAGGTTTAGGGAAGGGTGTAGGTGTTGAGGCTCCGTTCTAGGAGAAGCCTCCAGGCAAGGGGGCTCAGGCTCTGGAGAGGTGTGGTGGGGGCTACCTCATGACCCAGGGGAAGGAAGAGCAAGTCACCTCCTCTGGAAAACTGAAACTCCAGAAAGGTGTTTCCCTAGAGACGCCTCTTGAGGGAAGGCTGTAAAACATCCGCAGAGGGAATTCCATCCTGCTCTTCCTCCCTCTTACAGAATAGATTTAACTGTGAGTCATGATTCAGAAATCTATTTTCAAGCTACCTCTGTCTGGTCTCCCAGACTGCGTGGTGGCTATGTTATAGAGAAAAACTGTTTCCTAATCAGTGGTAAGTAGCCAAACACTTCCTAATAGTAAGAGAGCCGTCTGGTATGGGCACCTTACAGCCCAGGCTACCTAACTAACGGCCTCAAGAAGCTGAGAAAAGAAATAAAAGGGACACAGATACAGGGGAGAGAAAAAACCTGTCAACCAAAAGTTTAAGTTCCACAATTCTTTAAGGTCCACTTTATTTTAAATGTTGTGTATGTCGGGGGCAGGTTTGTCAATGTGTCTACGGGTGCCAGCAGTGGCCAGAGATGTCAGAACCCCCTGAAGCTGGAGTTACAGGCAATTGTGAGCTGCCTGGCACGCGAGCTAGGAACTTAATTTGGGCACTCTGTAAGAGTCGTGTGTGTTCTTAACCACAGAACCATCTCTCCGGCCCCAAGTTCGACAATTCTGTACCTATGTAGAAATTTGGAGTTGACATTCAAAGCGTTGGAACTTGAGTGGCGCTGCCCACAGTGTATTTGCCCTCACATGGATGCATACTATTTAAAATAACAGAAACAAGGGCCAGGAAAGGAGGGTCGGTGGATAAGGGCACTTGATACTCTTGAAGAGGACCTGAGTTTGATTGCCAGCACTCACATGGCAGCGCAAAACTATCTGTAACTCCAGTTCCAGGGAGCTGACATCCTCTTTCTGGCTTCCAAGGTCATCAGGCATGTACTTGGTATATGTACATGCATGCAGTCAAACACGAAAATAAATCTTTTAAGTAAAAATCTTTAAAACCTTGGAACCATGAAGTCCCATGGTTTTCCGGAAGATTTAAGACGTACACAGCTCAGTTGGTAGTGCGCTAGTCTTGCACTAAGTCCGGCACTGGCGTCATAAACCCAGGCATGGTGACACACCCCTATAATCCCAGTACTTGGAAGATGGAGGCAGAATCAGAAGCTGAAGTTCATCCTTGGGTACATGGTGAATGTGAGGTCGGCCTTGATGGCAGGAGATCCTGTCTCGGAGTAAAAAGAACAGAGAAGCAGATAGTAATCATCTGTGTACACATACGCAAGACTGAAATGCCGTTAATCAGCCAACTTTAACTCTACAGCAGCTAAGTCAGAGGCCATCAGTATCCAGACATCCCTGGCCAGTCTCCAACCATAAGTGACATTCCCTTAGTTTCCCAGATCTTAGGCATCAGCCAGGAGAAAGGTGTCTCCCAGCCTCCCAGTCTTCAAGCTCATGGTGAAATCTGAAACCTGTGGCTGCCCCTTTGCAGACCTCCCTAAGTCCCGAGTCATTTTCCAGTCTCTTACTGAGCTGCATCAAGGGACTAGTCCACTCACCATTCTGAGAAATCTCCCAAACAGATTCAGAGTACCTGCTTTTCCCAGGACCACAGCAGCCAAACAGGACCTATGGTCAGGGTCTCCAGGACCACAGCAGCCAAACAGGACCTATGACCAGGGTCCCCAGGACCACAGCAGCCAAACAGGACCTATGACCAGGGTCCCGAGAAATTTCCATTAGTGATTTAGACCCCAGTGCCAGCAAGGTAGGAGGGCCAGCCTGAGACAGGCGTTTTTATTCTCTGCTTCTGCTGCTGGAAGCTGAAAGACAGTGCAGTCAGAAGGATGGCTCAGCCGTAGCAGGTAAAAGCACTTGCTTTGTAACCCTGTTCAGTCCTCAGAGCCACAGTGGGAGAAAAGGTGACCTCTGACCTCTACATGCTTATCCCACACAGCAGAGATAAAGGCAAACTTAATTCAAAAGAAAGCACTTTTTACTTTCTAAAAAATTTTATTAGCATGTATTAATTATATAGAATGGGTTTTAGGATCTCATTTCTGTTATAATGCATTTAGTCATGGGCCAATGGTTTCAAACTCCTTTTCCTCCAGGCCAGTGGAGGCTTCACCCTGGGCCCTTCCTCTCTTACATCTGCTAATGACGGTGCTGTCACCCTTGAGGAGGAAAGCGTTTGTAGGTTACTTGGCCATGTGACCTGAAGAGCCCTAGAAATCTGACTTGGCCTCTGCCCAGTCTGGCTGCTACCCAGCAAACTGATCTTGAACTTGGCTCTCCAAATCTCTCTCCTTCATAAAGCGGTGGCGGGACAGAAAAGAGCCAATGGCATTACATACTCCACGCCTATCTGTCAGGCTTCTGAGTCACAGTCACATGCCAGCAAGCTGTCCCTGCTCAGAGCCCAACCCTCAAGCTGCCCCTGCTCAGTTTCTCAGAATTCCTGAGGACAAGTGGATCCCAGGGCAGAGTGTGAAAGAGAGGAAGGAAGGGAGGGATTGGCTGGATTTGTGGGGAAACCCTGTACAGGAACAAAGAGCCCCGAAATAGCTTGTCACATCATGTAACAATAACAAAAACAAAAAGCAGCGCATGATGGCTCCCACCTGTAGAACCAGCACTCAGGAGGCAGAAGCAGGTTTGACATGAGCTCCAGGCCTGCCTGGGTCAGACTGTGCTCTAGGTCAGCTTCAGCTACAAAGTAAGCCCATGCCTTACAACATAAAATAATCACCTGGTGCACGCCTTTTATCCAGCACTCCAGGGCAGAAGCAGGGAGATCTCTGAGTTTGAGGCCAGCCTGATCTACACAGTGAGTTCCAGGACAGCCAAAACTGTTACAGAGAAGCCCTGTTTTGAAAAACACTAAAATAGCTGGGTAGTGGTGGCACACGCCTTTAATCCCAGAGGTAGAGGCAGGCAGAACTCTGGTTTCAGGACAGCTAGGGCTATTGCATAGAGAAACCTGTCTCGAAGAACCAAAAGAAGAGGAAAGAAAAAAAAAAACACTAAAATAAATAGAGCTGGCTTCAGAGACAGCAGAACAATACAGAATGTGACCGTGCTGGGGGCCACGATCAGACCCATCTTGGGGCAAATGTTGGGGGGTCTGGCTCTTTGGGAAAGCCACTCCCATTCTTCCACTCCTTCCCCAGGAATCTGTCTGAGCTGTGGCCAGACTAGGAGGGGACATTTATGTGGCTTGGGGAAAGTTAGCCCTCCAGATCTCTACCCTTCCTTCTTCCAGCTCGGCATCCTCACTAGGAGCTGTTAGAGCAGATCCAAGAGTCCCAAGGGACAGTGAAGGGGGAGAAACTTGGGAAATCCCATGGACATCTGACTTACTGGAGGCGCTGAGTCACGCCAGGGCTCCACCTGTCTCACCCGCCCTCAGCCGAGGACTGGGAGGCCGCTCAGGTATAAGTGATAAGAACCTTTTCTTTCTTGGCACCACAGACCTTGGTCCAGGATCTTTCTTCCAGCAGGGTTTGTTTGCTGTCCCTCATCTGTCTGTCTTTCAAGGCCTGGAGCTACAGACATCTTGGCAGGAAGGCACATTAAAAAGGGTGGGGGTCCCTGGCCCAGCCCC